GCTGCTTCAGGAAAACCACCCTCTGTTAAGTTAAAAAAGAAAATAATTAGTTTTCTGCAATTAAAAACTGACTTCTGAATTCATAAAGTCGCAAGCACCTAAATTTGGGTAAAGGAAATTTCTACATGTATATGTATATAGCTCAGCAGTTCTGGAAGCAACCACAGCAAGCTACTAAGGTAGTACTCCAGGCATAAGTACATTTTTGAGCAAATGAACATGTGTAACATAATCAAGAGCAGGAAATGGCTAGTAAATCACCATGGATTAAACTTGTTATCTGCCACAAATAAGTTGTATCTTGCAGATCATTTCCCCTTGCCCCAAACACAGGTAAATAAAGGAAAACTACACCTAGCATGCAAATGCATTGCCACCAGGAACCCCAGGCAGCTGCAGTGAAGCTCCTCAAGCACAGAAACTCTCACCTTGCCCCTGTGGCGTCCAGTGAGGATGATCAGAATGGTCCCAGGGGTAATGCTGGCTCGCAGTTTTCTCACGTGCTGACTGAAGGGTTTTTTGCCGTGGCTCAACAGCTTTCGAGGCACATCTTCAGTAGGATAATATCTAGGCTGGGGAGAGTCCATAGATCTAACTTATTTAAATAAGCCATTCAGATTGGTAGAAGTGAGCTATGTCAGCCAAACTTTTGCTATAGTCTTTTTATTAACATTTACACGATTCCATTTTCATTTCTGCTAAGTAGATTTTAAACTTGGAAAAGGTCAATTATGGTTCTGCATCCTGTGTGCAAAACAGGATAGAAATCATTTAATGAATGAGCTGTGTGTTCAAGCAAATAAAGCATCAAGCAAGTCACCTTTGAATCTTGAGCAAAAACTAAACCCCAGAGATTACACATGTGACATGCCACATTTTGCAGATTAGGGATACATGGCTTGTTTTCCAGTTCAAGTAAAGTGTGTTAATATCCTAGCCACTTCATCTGATCCTCACAGCAACAAGTCTTACTCCCACTTCATGCACAAAGGAAAACAAATTGCATAAAACCAGACAGTAGGACTGGCAGATCATTTGTTGCAAAAATTAAGACACCATGCAAGGGCCATTAAAGACATAACTACAAATAACTCACAATAACCTATTTCTAACTATACCATATCATTAGTGCAGTCTCACTTTCACCACAAACATGATCACCTAATAGGAAAACGAGTTCACAAGACAACTGTCAACTTCCCTCTCATGCGGTAACCTTCAACTGTGAAACTGTATGGTGTAACTTACTTGGGAATGTTCTCATAACGAAAATCACATAGCAAATCCTGAGACTACATTGGGTCTTGTGTGTGGTAAAGGGGGCCAAGAAACACTGCTCTAGTGGGAAATGTTCTATATAACAGGCTATGTATTATTTCATTTCATCTCCATAATAGCTCTTTGAGGTAAACCCTCATTCCCATCTTTTTTTTTGAGATGGAGTCTCCCTCTGTTGCCCAGGTTGGAGTGCAGTAGTGCAAGTTCTGCCTCCCGGCTCCAGAATAGCTGCCTCCCAGCTACTCTGGAGGCTCCTGCCTCCGCCTCCAGAGTAGCTGGGACTACAGGCATGCAACCAGCTAATTTGTGTATTTTTAGTAGACATGTGGTTTCACCATGTTGGCCATGCTGGTCTTGAACTCCTGACCTCAGGTGATCTGCTGACCTCAGCCTCCCAAAGTGCTCGGATTACAGGCATGAGCCACCATGCCCAGCCTCATTCCCATTTTATATGCGAAGGAACAAAGCACAGAAGACTAACTTAAATTATTTAAGATTAACAGTAAACGTTGAAGCCAAATTGCAAACCCAGAGCCCTTTATTTTCTACCAGAAATTCTCTGGTATGCAGAAACTTATAGTATCAAAGTATTCAAAAACACCTTCAGCATTCAAGCATAGACCGAAAATCCAATTTACAGTGTCCCCATATCTTACCATTTTGCGAAGTTTAACCACCCGGGTACCGCCGTTCTTGTCACCACCAACTGGTTTTGTAAGAGTTGCAAGAACCTTCTCCTTCTTTTTCTTTTCAACCTGCAAGGACACAAATGCATCAACAATAACAGAATGCCAATAAAGGGTAAGACATAATGGTCAGTGGTTCCCTCTTCCCTTACCTTGGATTTAGCGGCTGAGTACTTCCTCTTGTACATGGCCTTTCTGGAATACATGGCAGATCGGGAATACCTGCCAATTCCTCTGACAAGGACAGGGTTGCGGCTGCAATGGGGCTTCCCCTTCTTGGGCTTCTTAGCCTTGAGGTTACCCTTTTTCACCTTGCCACCAGCATCAGCCTTCTTGGTTTCGGGTTTCTTTTCTTTAGTATCTGGCTTCTCAACTTTTTCACCCGCCATCTACAAATATTTTTTGTAGACAAAAAAGGCATTTCATCTCTTAACAAGACAATGACGAACCTGTACATGAATGGGCTGAGCTCCCCAGACGACAATCCCTTCCCCGGTAAGATACAGGCCTTCAACTCTACCCATTCTACTCCAACCTTCACTATGTCTCATTTGGGGGTTGTCTCCCCAACACACTATAAACTATTCTCTTGAGGATTTGAAACTATCTCACACCTATTAGGTTTTTGCCAAATACTGAGCAGTCAGAAGTCCGTACAACCATGATTTTTTTATCACTGTTTTGCGAATTAGAAAACTTAGATGTAAAATGTGCCCACAGGTTGGAAGCACCAGGACCAGAACTTGAAATTCCTTTTAGTACCTTTCGTCTTAACCCTTAAAACCAGTGTCTTTTTTCAAGAAACTCGATTTAGGAATTGCGAACACAAACAGAATCAGTCCAAACTGAGCCCAAACAGAAAAAGATCGCAAAGACCAAGAGGCGACTTCCGGTCGCGGACGCTGAGAGACGCGAAACGTTTTGGCTTCAGTGTGGAACCCCAACGTGGCTGCGACAGGCTCATTGTCATCCTCTAGAACCCAGGACCGGGAACTCAATGCACGCGCCGTCGCCCCGCTTCCTCTAACACCCACCAGTACGCTACAGGTCCCCGAAAGGGCCTCGTTCCCCTAGTCCAAGAGAGTGGCGAACAGCCGGAGGAAGCCACTACGGCATTCTACCTCACCCTCTTCGTGCCCCGCCGCAAACCCAAACGGCAAAAATGAAGCGTCTGGAAGGCCTCTCAGTTAGCCTTGGGCATGTCCGACCCCTGTAGGTGTCGACTGGATGCCCTCCAGGTTCGGATGGCGAAGGATTGAAGTCCTGAACTCGAGTCTTGCAGAGAACCCCACCATTCTTACCTTGCAAGATGGGAAAGAGAACTAAGGTCTCGGCTTCCGGTCTATAAGCAATCATGGGAAGTGCGAGTCTCACTTCCTTCCGGATCTGGGGCATCATGGGGAATGTAGTATTTCGCTAATGAGAAAAAACTAGTAATTCCTACACCGGGTGGGGTGGCTCACGGCTGTAATCCCAGCGCTTTGGGAGGCCTAGGCAGGTGGATCACGTGAGGTTGGCAGTTCGAGACCAGTCTGGCCAATATGGCGAAATCCCGTCTCTACTAAAAATACAAAAGTTAGCCGGGCGTGGTGGTGAGTGCCTGTAATGTCAGCTACTCGAGGCGCGGAGGCAGGAGAATCACTTGAATCTGAAGGTGGAGGTTGTAGTAAGCCGAGATCGCAACACTGCTCTGGGCAACAGAGCAAGATTCCGTCTCAAAAAAGGCGGGGGGGGGGGGGGGGGCGGGGCGCGGTGGCTTACGCCCGTAATCCCAGCACTTTGGGAGGCCGAGGCGGGTAGATCGCTTGAGGTCAGGGGTTTGAGACCAGCCTGGCCAACATGGTGAAACTCCATCTCTACTGAAAATACAAAAATTAGCCGGTCGTGGTGGTGGGCGCCTGTAATCCCAGCTACTCGGGAGGCTGAGGCAGGAGAATCGCTTAAACCCAGGCGGCGGAGGATGCAGTGAGCTGAGATCCTGCCACTGCGTGCCACCGCACTCCAGTCTCAAAGACTCAGTCTCAAAACAATAACAGACTCGGTCTCAAAACAATATCCAGACTCAGTCTCAAAACAATAACAACAACAACAACAAAATTAGCTGAGTGTGGTGGTTAGTGCCTGTAGTCCCAGCTACTTGGGAGGCTAAGGTGGGAGGATCACTTGAGTCCTAGAGGTCTGGGCTGCAGTGCAGTGAGCCCTAATCTTGTCACTTGAGATAAAGTCAGTGGTCCCCTCTCCCTTACCTTGGATTTAGCAGCTGAGTACTTCCTCTTGTACATGGCCTTTCTCATTCCTGTCTGGCGTACAGAATGAGACTCTGTCTCAAAAAAAGTAAAAAAATATAAAGTGAGGATAACAATAGTAACTTACTTCATAAGGTTGTTGGGAACATTAAATAATATACACAACAGTACTGAGAAGCATATTTGATGGATGGTAAATGCTACATAAGTGTTAGCTCTTTTTTTTTTCTTTTTTTTTTGTTGAGACAGAGTCTCGCTTTGTCACCCAGGCTGGAGTGCAGTGGCCGGATCTCAGCTCACTGCAAGCTCCGCCTCCCGGGTTCACGCCATTCTCCTGCCTCAGCCTCCTGAGTAGCTGGGACTACAGACGCCCGCCACCTCGCCTGGCTAGGTTTTTGTATTTTTTAGTAGAGACGGGGTTTCACCGTGTTAGCTAGGATGGTCTCGATCTCCTGACCTTGTGATCCGCCCGTCTCGGCCTCCCAAAGTGCTGGGATTACAGGCTTGAGCCACCGCGCCTGGCCTCTTTTTTTTTTTTTTTCTTTTGAGATGGAGTCTCGCTCTGTCATCCAGGCTGGAGTGCCGTGGCATGATCTTGGCTCACGGCAACCTCTGTCTCCCGGGTTCAAGTGATTCTCCTGCCTCAGCCTCCCGAGTAGCAGGGAGTACAGGCGCACACCACCATGCCCAGCTAATTTTTTGTATTTTTAGTAGAGACAGGGTTTCACCATGATGGCCAAGCTAGTTTTGAACTCCTGACCTCAAGTGATCCACCCACCTCAGCCTCCCAAAGTGCTAGGATTACAGGCGTGAGCCACCATGCCTGGCCAACTGTTAGGTCTTGTTATTGTCACCATCATCACCACTATCATCTGATCATCAGCATCCTAGTTGTTGTTAAGTATTCTGCTAAAGTTTACGCGCCGGATATAACAAGCAATATTGCATGCAATGTGCCTTGCTTTATCTCATTTAATTTTCCCAACAACCTGTGAACGATACTATTATGAGGAAACTAAGGTAAGTCCAGGACATTAAGTAACTTGCTCACAGCATAGATCTGATTCCAAAGATTGCACTCTTGACCATTAGGCTGCAAGATTAAAGAGATGATTAATGAAGATGCATGAGAGTTTTGCTCATGTTAGAATTAAAAATAAGAATACTTGTTATCTTTTACAAAATAACACAGTATATGTGATAGTTCTTTACTGCTTCAAAGCCCTTGAGCCAACATGTACACATTTGTAATACCTTCTATCTTGCGTTTTCCATTTTCCTCCATTTGTTTTTTTCTGGTTGCTAGAGCTTTTCACCTTGATTTTTTTCAGATCGAAACCACCTGCTTCATGGCTGTGTCTCTGGGAATCATTTAGCCTTTTTCTGATTCTGATTGACTGAAGATACAAATACAATGATCAGATGAACACTGCCCTTTTTTTTGAGAATGGGAATGTCAGCCGCTTTATTTGTTCAGCTTCCTCAGCAAAGCACCTCTTAGAAACTTCAACTGCAGTAAATATACTACAATGAATGAATGAAATGCACAGTTGCTTACATGGGCCCCTCAAAATTTCTGGCAATCTCAGAGAATTTCACCTAGTAAACACCCCAAAATAGTTGTTGAATGACCTGTCAATAAAATAAAAACATAGATGAACCCCCTCTTGTGTTTTGTTGCGGTATTGCAAAATTTACAATTCATTAGTTGGACAAAATAACATGTTAGTTATAAAGTAAATATTTTTATTAAGCTTAGTTTTGCATGTATAAAATTCTCTGAAATTTGTGCAGCACTTTAATCACAAAGCAGACATTTTTGCAGACACTTAATCTTTTTTTTTTTTTTTTTTTTTTCTGAGATGGAGTCTTGTTCTGTTGCCCAGGCTGGAGCGCAGTGGCGTGATCTTGGCTCACCGCAACTTCTGCCTCCTGGGTTCAAGCCATTTTCCTGTCTCAGCCTCCCGAGTAGTTGGGACTACAGGCGCCCACCACCACGCCCGGCTAATTTTTTGTGTTTTTAGTAGAGCCCGGGTTTCACCGTGTTAGCCAAGATGGTCTTGATCTCCTGACCTTGTGATCCACCTGCCTCGGCCTCCCAAAGTGCTGGGATTACAGGCGTGAGCCTGGCAATTTTTTTGCGTTTTTATTAGAGACAGGATTTCACCATGTTGGCCAGGCTGGTTTCAAACTCCTAACCTCAGGTGATCTGTCCACCTCGGCCTCCTAAAGTGCTGGGATTACAGGCCTGAGCCACCTCGCCCAGCCTAATTTTTTTTTTTTTTTTTTTTTTTTTGAGACGAAGTCTCACTCTGTCGCCCAGGCTGGAATGCAAGGTGAGATCATGGCTCACTGCAGCCTTGACCTCTTGGGTTCAAGCAATCCTCCCACCTCAGCCCCCTGAGTAGCTGGGAGTACAGTGCACACCACCATACCTGGCTAATTTTTTTACATTTTTTGTAGACACAGGGTCTCACAATGTTGCCTCAGCTGTATTTTTTGTTTTTTGTTAGACAGTAAATCTTTTAAAACCTGGCAACATGGTGAAACCCTGTCTCTGCTAAAAATACAAAAATTAGCCAGGCTTGGTGGCAGGCGCCTGTAGTCCCAGCTACTCGGGAGGCTGAAGCAGGAGAATGGTGTGAACCCAGGAGATGGAGCTTGCAGTGAGCCGAGATCGTGCCACTGCACTCCTGCCTGGGCGACCAGAGCAAAGACTCCGTCTCAAAAAATAAAATAAAATAAAGTAAAATAAAATTCAGATGGAGTTTTTTTGTTTTTGTTTTTGTTTTTGTTTTTGCTATGTTGCCCAGGTTGGTCTCAAACTCCTGGTCTCAAGAGATCCTCCTGTTAGCTACCATGCCCGGCCATATAAATATGCCAGGCACTACTCCAGGCATATAAAGATGGGAAGACCAGCTGGTGGCTCATGCCTGTAATCCTAGCACTTTGGGAGGCGGAGGCAGGATGATTGTTTGAGCCCAGGGGTTTTAGACCACTCTAGGTAACATGGCAAAACCCTGCCTGTATTTTAAAAAAAAAAAAAAAAAAAAAAAAAAAAGGGAAGACAATGACTTTGTCTTAAAAGGAGGTCATAATCTAGAGGAAGACACAGAACAATGATGACAGAACCCACAATGATTTTGAAATGTGTTAGGTGCTGATAGAGGCATGAAGAGGCAACCTCAGGAGAATAGGAAGGGAGTCTCTCTTTTATTCTCAAAAAGTGAAAGAATGTTTTCTGGAGGAGCTGCTTAAGTTGGAGCTGAACCTTGCATGACTGTTTTCCAGATGGAGAAGGGTTTGAAGAGTATTCCAGGCAGTAGGAACTAAATTTTGGAAGGCAGGGATGCAAGAAACAGCTAGAAGCCTTTAGAAACTGCCAGATTATGTGAGGGTGTTGGCACAGGCCATATCTAGAAGGGACTGATGTACTAAGGGAAGGAGTTCAACTTAATGCTGGAGGGTTTGAACCTCCTTCATACAACAGGGGAGTGACGTGATTAAATTTGTATTTTAGAAAGATCATTCATTCTAGTTGCAGAGTATGCGGAATATAGGAAACACTAGGGAGGTAGTAGTTCCTGCACTCAAAGAGCTAATAGTTTACTTTGGAAAAGAGACAAATGATAGCCAGCTTTTATCGAGTGCTGACTTTGCCAGACACTGTTCTAAGGACTTCACAAACCTACCCTATGGTAGGATTTTGATTCCTATTTTACAGAGAAGGAAACAGACACAGAGGAGTCAAATGACTTGCTTACAGACACCCAGGCTGCCAGATCAAGTGGCTGGGTGCAGTGGCTCACACCTGTAATCCTAGCACTTTGGGAGGCCGAGGCAGGCGGATTATGAGGTCAGGAGATCAAGACCATCCTGGCTAATGCGGTGAAACCCCATCTCTACTAAAAAAATTACAAAACATTAGCCGAGCGTGGTGGCAAGCACCTGTAGTCCCAGCTACTTGGGAGACTGAGGCAGGAGAATGGCGTGAACCCGGGAGGGGGAGCTTGCAGTGAGCCGAGATGGCGCCACTGCACTCCAGCCTGGGAGACAAAGTGAGACTCCGTCTCAAAAAAAAAAAAAAAAAAAAAAGAAAGAAAGAACTTAATTGGATGCTTCTTATATGATACAGGCTCTTAGATTTATAGTGTAGTGTGTTAGGTTCTAAGGATAGGTGTCTTGGTGACCAGCTGACCTGGACTAGAGAATCAGGTGAGGCTTGTATTCCAGAGGAAGTGGCTCCTAGTCTGAGATCAGAGGCATAGAGTTGATGTGGAGGAGAGTCAGGAAGAACCCTCTGGGGAAAGAAAGCAGACTGTTAAAAGGCTCTAAGTTGGGAAAGAATATGGCATATTGAGGGGAGCTGAAAGTCATTCAGCATGGCTGGATCATAGAAAATGAAGTGAGTAGTGGGGAGACGGGCTGGTGAAGTGATTGGGGATCAGAGTTAAAAAACTCTGGTGCATTGGCTCACACCTGTAAATCCAAGGCCTTAGGAGGTCAAAGTGGGAGGACTACTTGAGGCCAGGAGTTCAAGGCCAGCCTGGGCAACATAGCAAGACCTTGTGTCTGAAAAATTTTTTTTTTTTTTTTTTTTTTTTTTTTGAGACAGAGTCTGGCTCTGTCGCCCAGGCTGGAGTGCAGTGGCCGGATCTCAGCTCACTGCAAGCTCCGCCTCCCGGGTTTACGCCATTCTCCTGCCTCAGCCTCCGGAGTAGCTGGGACTACAGGCGCCCGCCACCTCGCCCGGCTAGTTTTTTGTATTTTTAGTAGAGACGGGGTTTCACCGTGTTCGCCAGGATGGTCTCGATCTCCTGACCTCGTGATCCGCCCGTCTCGGCCTCCCAAAGTGCTGGGATTACAGGCTTGAGCCACCGCGCCCGGCCTGAAAAAATTTTTTTAAACTTTTTTTTGGGCCGGGCATGCTGGCTCACGCCTGTAATCCAGCATTTTGGGAGGCTGAGGTAGGTGGATCACTTCAGGTCAGGAGTTGGAAAGCAGCCTGGGCAGCATGATGAAACCCTGTCTCTACTAAAGATACAAAAAAAAAAAAAAAAAAATTAGCTGGTAACGGTTGTGCGTGCCTGTAATCCCAGCTACTTGGGAGGCTGAAGCAGGAGAATCACTTGAATCCGGGAGGTAGAGGATGCAGTGAGCCGGGATTGCGCCACTGCACTCCAGCCTGGGTGAAAGAGTGAGAGTCCGCCTCAAACAAAACAAAAAACTTTTTTTTTTGTAGGGACAGGGGTCTTAATCTGTTGCCCAGGCTGTTCTTGAACTCTTCGGGCTCAAGCAATCCTCCTACCTAGGAGTCCCAAAACACTGGGATTACAGACGTGAGCCACCACACCCAGGGGGATAAACCTTTTTTTTTTTTTTTTGGATTTCATCCTAAAAACAAGGAGAAGCCATTGACGAATTCAATGTAGGGAGTGACTAGTTTTGCAGTTGTTGTTTTTTTTTTGAGATGGAGTCTCGCTCTGTCGCCCAGGCTGGAGTGCAGTGGTGCAATCTTGGCTCACTGTAACCTCCACTTCCTGGGTTCAAGCAATTCTCTCGCTTCAGTCTCCCAAGTAGCTGGGACTACAGGTGCCCACCACTACACCCAGCTAAATTTTGTATTTTTAGTAGAGATTGGGTTTCACCATGCTGGCCAGGCTGGTCTCAAACTCCTGACCTCAGGTGATCCACCTGCCTCGGCCTCCCAAAGTGCTGGGATTACAGGTGTGAGCCACTGTGCCTGGCCACAATTAATTATATTTTTAGTAAAGACGAGGTTTCACCATGTTGGCCAGACTGGCCTCGAACTCCTGACCTCAGGTGAGCCACCTGCCTTGGCCTCTCAAAGTGCTGGGATTACAGGCATGAGCTACGGTGCCCCACCAATTTTGTAGCTTAGATTACTCTGGCTACTATATGGAGATTGGATTAGGAAGTTTAGGCCTGCAGGCCTGAGATCAGTTAAAATGTTGCTTGTCATCTAGGTGGCCAGGTTTAGGGAGAGGGACAAATGCTTGTTGAATGGCTATTATGTGAATTAAATTGACATATATTAAAGGTGATCTCTGTAAGGAGCACATGAGTGCTGAAGCAGTTAGCACACAGTATGAGAGTCATTTGTATATTAATGAAATGGGCAAGCATTAAAACAATGAGGATGCTGGAGCTATACAGATATGGGTTAAACTTATGGCTCTGCCATTCACTAGATCTGTAGCCTTTATTTATTTATTTTGAGAAAGAGTCTTGTCCTGTTGCCCAGGCTGGAGTGCAGTGGTGCAATCTGGGCTCACTGCAACCTCTGCCTGTCTGGTTCAAGCAATTCTCTCACCTCAGCCTCCGGAGTAGCTGGGACTACAGGTATGCGCCACCAACCCCGACTAATCTTTGTATTTTTCACCATATTGGCCAGGCTGGTCTTGAACTCCTGACCTCAAGTGATCTGCTCTCCTTGGCCTCCCAAAGTGCTGGGATTACAGGTGTGAGCCACCACACCCAGCTAGATCTGTAGCCTTCAATGAGTCATATGGGCATCAATCAAGTAAAAAACTCTACTCTTCTCAATCTGGTCTGAGTCACCATTATTCCCAGACCAGAATACTACAGTATTCCCGTATTTTGACTGGCTTCTCTGTTTCTGGCCTTGCCCTCTTGCTCGAGCT